TTTAACTTCATGTACAAAGTCTTGATGTATTGATCTTTATTTCCTGGAATATAATGAAACTACATGTATGGCTACTGATGATGTATGACACATATACACATTTCCTTATATTCTTACACAAAGTGTTCATTGAGTAAAATTTGGTATTTGGCAACCATTTGGATTTATTAAAATTCATTTATAGTTTTCATCACAGATTTCAATATGATGGTATTATAAACCTTTCTTTTAGGATTCAATTGTTAGACAATACAACTATTTAAGTTTCCTTAAGTTGTGAATTAAATGTTAAATTTTAAATCTAATTATTTCCCTCGCTCACTCTGAATGCTCTTAGAAGAGGAGTGTGATTTCAACTTCACAGTCATTAAGGCAGTATTCACAATTTAAGGGGCCATTCAGAATGAGGGATGCAGTAATTAAATCTCGGCTCCATTCGACCAGACGCGTGAGGAGGCGTGTGAGAGGTGGAGAGACCATTACAAGATTAAGTGGTCTTCCTTTCATGTAGGTCCACTATATTTAGGCTGTGGACCAGTTAGCACTCGGATCTTCTCATTCTGAATGGCCCCTAAGAAAGGTGTAATAATTCTCATTTACTTTTATGTACATATGTCTGATTTTGTAGTCGTTGAATAGAAATGGATCTGCCAACACTAATATTTTAGAGGTAACAAAATAAAATTCATAATGCAGAAATGAGCAAAATGTTGTGTTCAATTGAAAACTTAGAGTTTATCTCTTCGCGATCATGTTTGACATAACAAGGGCAACTGTAGGAAATATTTAAATGAATATTTATGCAGGAAAATTCATTTTTTTTTAAATTAAACAGGTTTCTGTTATGGGATTTGCCACAAAGCCTCACAATACCAGTAATTGGCAAGGTACAATGCACACTCTAGTTAATAACCACCATCGTAATTGTGGGATGACGCTGTTCTTCGTTTAAAGGAAGTTCAACGTCACATTTTTGTTAAATCTGTTTTGACGTGCATGTAAGAATAAGAACGGCTATGATTGTTCATCATGGTATCCCTCGTGCAAACCATGTTTAAAACATTTGGACTTTATTAAAATCGAACAATTTTTTTTAATGGTAAAGTGTAAAACTGATGCTACCTATAGGCCTGTACAGCGAATAATAATTATGTATGCAGGATAGACGCAAATTAGATATTAACATGTTGACTACTATGGTTATGCAATGTGGAATTAGTGCAGGATTCCCACAACCAGACAATTCAGTGGAATGGCTGTGAACAGCAAGAGCCTCGTTCTAGCCTGGCCTTGCACTTCTAATTGCTACCAGGCTACATTAGGACAGAACACATCAGATCATAAGCCAAGCAACTTGGGATCACAGCCATCGTTTATATATCGTCTCCTACTTCTCAATGCTTTCTTCAAAAAGATTCAAAGGTGGTCGGCCCCATGTTGCATATTAACCTATAACTCATGAGAGTCAAGAAAACTGTGCTAAGTTTCAGATAAGTCAGTGGGCAAACATCAGTTCGATATGCCGTCTTATCTACTTGACAAGCTTGGATCACTCTTCAGAGTGCAAGATAAGTGTTATTTACTGTACCAAGATCACGGGACGTTTGCTTGTGATGACGTTTTGATCAAAGTTTAATAAACTTAAGACGTTCATCTGCAATTCAGTCTTGCCCTGTACTTTTTTGGGAAGGGAGTTAGAAAATTCTACCGAACAACAAAACTGAAAATGAAGACGATTTTGTTTCTTTTGGCTGTGCTGTGCTACACCTCGGCTTACAGAGGTAAGGGTTTTCTTAGGATTTGCTCATTTTCCCCACTTATAACGTCAGCTTATTCTAACAATGTATCCGCCTCCGTTAAAAGTAATCAGCCAACAGAAGTATTGCTCTCCAGAAGGATCACATTCTTCACCAGTTTTGTTATAAATAGCCACTATTAATTAAATTACTAGTAGATCAAATTTAATGCACTTTCTTCTTATCTTACAGTCACCGCACCTCCTCGTTAACCATCTTTGCCAATGGCTAACCCCTGAATATAAATTAATATCCAATTATTTTTTCAGCGCCAATCATGAATGAATATTCCAAGACTGCTATTCCAAATGAATACATCGTCGTATTCAATGAAAGTGCTTCATCAGATGCAGGTACATGTTATGTCAATGAGACCCCATTTATATGAAAACTGAAATTAATCTCCAAAGTTGATATGAATCACTTACATAGAACAAAATGTGTGTATTTTTTACCAGGAAAATCAAACTTGAAAACTGAATTATAGATTGCAGGAAGTGATCATTGATTGACAGAGTTAAATTTCAACTGATAACAGTGAAGGCGACCAGTTTACACCTGGTACTCGCAATCAGTAGTTTTTGTTCAAATAATCAAATAATTGATTAGCTTATTGTTAATGATTTACTTATACATTAAAACTTTTTATATGTATTTCGAATACTTTAAAATGAGCTCAGCATTACCAAATACTAATTAATTTTAGTAAATTGCAGCCCATTTCCTTCAACCTCTTAAAACACTGCAATCAAAAACCATATGGCTGTCAAGAAAAACTTCTAGCAGAATGGCATAAAGCCACTTTTTCGCAGGCGAAATAAAGGAAGTTTTGTGGATAATTACCTTTATATGACTTATAATTTTGTCATGTTTGACTTATTTTATCTTCATTGTACTTGTTTGTGCTCTTGGAGGTATAAAATGGCGAAGATAACAACGAACCTGGGACGGCAAAAAGTAAATGATTAACCGAAAATTAAAATTATATATATATATATATCAACAAATTATCTTGGAAACTGTTATCAACTGTAATTTTGAACGAGTGAATGGCGCGACATTTTGATATTAAAGCAGATATCATTTCATGGAGCATTTCACGTCAATCTTGTGCAGTGTGCCACACAACCAGCGTTATGTTTATCCAACGCAATTAAAACATTTGTAAGACTATTAGGACGCAACAAACAATTTTTTTGGGAGGGGGGCGGAGTTGGACAAGTAACTGTTTTATGTTGTATTTTGAAGTACTACAATAATTTCTTACCTGTACTTTGGAATATTCGTTACACATTTCTATGCTCTAGTCCTGAAGCACATGAAAACGCTGCCAACACATCTGCATACCACGTCCGACTTCGTCATTGGGAAATTTCGAGGGTATGGAGTAAAAGCCGCAAACAAGAGGTAGGGGTATATATGTCATTCTATTAAGTTGCATTTTAATGGCGTAGCTTAAGTGCAAGTTAACGGAGAAGTCATAACTTTTCTCAGTTTTTAATAAATGCAATACGTGAGATGGTTGTATACATTCCAACTTTTACTACAGAAACTGAAAATATATACATGTTTTAGATAATTACTCTTTTTCTGTAAATATCAGTATGTCAGTAAGCATATTATTCTCACATCTTAATCCTGTGATCAATAGGTTTCTTAGACAAAAATTCATTTGAAATCTCGGGAGACAGCATAGGGTAGACCGGGGCTAGTTCGACGATGGTCCTTCGTCAATTCATGAAAAAGTAACGACGTTAAAAAATGATCACATAATCTTGTAAAGTGACCGTATCCAGTGCCAAGAAAGCGTCATAATTGTGGATCCGTTGTTTGTTAAAATCACTGAGCTATAGTTCATTGTTAAAATAAAGTCGTATTTGTGAAATGAATAAAAGTTGAAATTGTTAGTTACTTCTTACTTAATTATTCGTTAAAAACCAAATTTACACCATTATTGATTTGTGTTGCATAGATGTATTTGAATTGGTCACATGAAGAATGCACACCAGGAGATTAAAACAAACTCAAGAGTTTGTTAAATTAATACCAGTTTCAGGTTGAAAATTTTAGTTACTTTTAAAACAAAAGTTAATTATTGGTATTCAATCATTCAAAACCTATTTTGTACCATTATTAGTTTTTAAATAAAAAACAAGATTGATTCATAAATATATGGACTCTTGTGATGTTTTTTTCAACACATAATAATGAAGATAACGCACAGAAACCTCAATAAATCGGTCTCATTTGAACTACTAATTCAGCAGACTTTAAAAATAAGTTTAATTAAATTAAAATCTGTTAAAATGTTCTTCGTGGCTTTTACACGGAAGACTAATTGTATTATTAAAAGTATAGGTGCCAACTTGCCCTGACCCTGACCATGTGGTTTTGTCAAATTGTGAGCCATTTGGCATTATATTTGCAAAATTATAACGTTACAATTGTAGCTAAGACCTCGCCCCTTGTTCTAAAACCGGTTTTGTTGTTCTAACTCATCCCCAGTTGACTCTACAAGGCCAAAATATCTAACTCGACCAACTAGCCCTGGTCTTTCCTACACAAGTACTACTCAAGTGATATGTACTACTCAAGTGATATGTGCTAATTGCAGTCAACTTCATTACGTTTTAACAATGCAGATATTACACAAAGAGATAAACGAAAAAAGATTTGTGATCATATTAACACCACCATCTACAAAAACGTCAATAAAAATGATTTTTTTCTGCGATAAAGAAATTTATCTATTACTGTGATGACGATAGTATCATAGGAGATGGCTATAACATGTCTGAATTGGATACTTGTGACACTTTCTGTCCTGAAAGACCCCTGTGTAAAAACACCATATACATAACTTATCATTACACTGAATATACCTACCCTTAAGAACACAATTCCATCACCAAGGTTATTGAAAATGGATGGTGAACTAACTTATGGCTTTGTTTCTTGTTCTTTAGTCATCTAGAACATGTACGTAACGACCCAATTGTGAAGTACGTCGAGCCAAATATGCAGGTTAAGGCATTTTTATGTGCGGAACAAAAAGGCGCTCCTTGGGTAAGTGTGTAAGTACTAGGGGATGAGTGCTAGTGCCTCAAAACCATACTGTATTACAGATAACGCAAACAAATTATCTTTGGCTTTGCTAATTTCTTCTTAAAAATCAACAAGTTCATGAATCTCATTCATTCGAAATACTGTATTCGTGTTCTTCCATTTTAAACGCCATATCTTTTAAATCTTATAAATAGTCATCACTTCCTTGGCCAGTGCGTGCCGGCAGTTTTTTAATAAGAAATTAGGATGTTTCCATAGACGTAAGAGGGGTTACCATATTTTAAATTAGGATTTTAAACAAAATTACAGAAAGAAAAGAGGGATATGCGTGGTAATGTTCTTGCACGTGCACTCAAAATATGCATAATCAGCAACAGACTTACCAGTAGCTTAATTGATACATGGTCCTAACAATGATCAGCCGAATATTTTTGCTAATACTCGAGTTCGATAATATACCTTATATTTTAATATTAAAATTGTTATAAGGATTATTTGTTACTTTGAAGATAGACGCCCTACTAACTATTGTAGTGGCTAGACACTGACAGATGTGTCCTTTGTGGGGCGTGTAACTCTTAAACAGTTGTTAATTTGGAAAATATGAAGATTCAAATAATGCTTTTAATGGTTATTTTATAACTTGAGGTCGCTAAATATACTTCTTTGCTGCTTTGATTGGGTTCCCATACCTAGATCGATCTAACAGGGTCGATCCATCTCCCAGGGGTTTATTCTTTTCATTAATCAGTGAGAAGAATAGGAAAATCGGAGAAAAATAATTTGGAAAAGTATTCCATATTAAATTTCAAGTCTATACATAATGTATATATCAACTTCGTTAATTGGGGGTATCGGTGCTATAAAGGTCTTTATTCTACATAATAGTTTTTCCCCGTTTCTTTTACATGAAATACATATCTTCATGTTACTGCATTAAGATAAGCACTAAAAGAGCAAGCCTACAAACCCTGTCTTTTGTTACTTTATTTTCCGTGCCATGCCAGTGTGTTTGGTGTGAGACAGTGACCGGCGTAACGTGACACAGAGTCCCCCATGATAGATAGTTCTCTTCTCATTCATTTGTACAGGCAAGTCTCGCCCTAGATTATGACCCACTTAGGTCAGGCTAACCCTAACCATTGTAATTTACACGGACCTTCAGTTTCGTTACACCGGTTTCTGACGTAACTCCGTAACCAAGTAGGATATCATAATAAAAATGGCAAGGTTGTCAATCACAATTTGGTGGCAACGTTTGGCTTTAAATTGTTTTGTTTGAAATCAAAATGTTAGGACCCCCCTGACCCTCTTTGGTTGCAACAGCATTATGGGAGAGCAGGATAATGCTTATTTTCGTAATACCTAAGTGAACAAGGAAAAAAATCCTAACGTACCATCTGGACCATCCACAGCGCAGTGCACGTGGACGCTTAGACTGGGTTCCCATACTTAGATTGATAGATAATTACCCCCTAACAGCTTTACTAGGCGTGACAGACATTTAAGCCGGTTACGTTGATTGCAATTTAGTGAGACTCCCCAGGGAGATAGATCAATCCAAATATCTGTGGGAATGGTCCCTTAGACTTCCAGGGGCACCGTTTGCCCTTGCTTGCAAAGTTTGAGTGGCTCCAACTTCAGCCGCGACTTCATAATCCTTTCTATATAATAATAAAAACAAACAGACAAACAAACAAAAATCCGATGAATCACACTGAGTTGCACTTGAGTTTTAAATGGACTTGTATGTAGTACACAGTTTGGTTGGATATTTGCTGGCGTTGAAATTGTAAAATATTTCAAAGTACTTTTATAATTTCCAGGGTTTGGCACGCACCTCAACCTTGATCCCTGACTCGGACCCGGAATCAGACTCTGACTCTGACTGGAAAGAGCTCAATCCAGATTTATTATATGAACATGGTCAGATAAAGAATTTACAGCTATTTTAACGTCTATTTTAAATTACACTTCAACGGACAAAATCTGTTCAAACTTTCAGAACTTCACTGGTTCCTTATTATAGTATAAAGAAGCGACTTAAAAGCACAATTTTTCTTGTTTACTTTGAACATACGTGGCAATTCATTCTTATCAAGGTGAAATTGTAAGTTTTTTGAAATAGGGGCCTATCCCTTCCCTTTCAAATAATTCAGATTATTTCATTTTACAGACACTACTGGTGGACAAGACGTAACTGTTTATGTGATCGATACGTAAGACATTTTATATATACTAAGTATATATCATTTTGTTTTGTTGCCTTCTATCATAAAAAGCATCTGTAAATTCTCGGAAAACACTGCACTATATTTTTGCTTTTCACTTTGGTTTATTAAAAACAATTTTTAAACCTTTAGTGATGATCCCTTAGTATAGTGACAAAATAAAAATTCTATTCAATTTCTCCAGAACTTAAGCCCTTTTGAGGTTGTGTCCTTCTGAAGACATACTGCATCTTTGTGCTTTCGGTCTCTTTATGGAAAAAAACCCTCCATCTGTTAGCTTATCACTAACTTGAAACAAGCTTTATTTCTAGAAAATGTTATTGATTTTTTTAGGGGAATAAGGACAACCCATGAAGATTTTACGTACAATGGCGAACAACAAGCTAAATGGGTAGGTCCTTCACATTCGGTACTGTTGACACAGACCCAAGTAATTTTCAAATGACGGTGAACTTAAAATTCTTCACTTTGTTGCTAATGTAATGTACTTCTATACTGATCATGCTGAAAAATAGTCTTCTGTGCTTCTTTAGCATTAATATATTATAATTTAGATTTGCTTTTATATTTCTGCTTACTGTTATGCGATCTTCATTAAAATTTCAAGGGAACAAGCACGGTTATGGATCCAGACACCGAAGAAGATCTAAACGGCCATGGAACTCATGTTGCAGGTATAGTATTTCTCCATAATAAATAGACCAGGTTATATATATATTTTATTTTAAGCTGCGTTTTTTCTTTTATTATGTTTAACAGTACTCTGCAATACCATGATAGATACGTAACCTGAATTTTCTAGGTTCTCAGAAACAATCATTACCTCCCCTACTGTAGAAGTGCTCTGCCCCGCTCCGAACCGGGCTGGAACGTGGCTGAGTTACGGTCAAAGCAAACTTTGAGTAAAATGAATAAATAAACAAATAAAGAAAGAAAGAAAGAAAGAAATAAAAAGGATGTGCAATCTGTAGGCCTATATCGTAACCATTTTTGAAGAACGAAATGAAGTATACAGACATTTCTTAAAAATTACAAAGAGCTGTACGGTCGAGCTGCACAAAAAGTCTTACGTGACAGAAAGACTTTGTTCTTAGTTACAAAGCAGACCAATTTAAGTAATTGTTTCCTTATTTTTCCACCAGATTTCGAATAAAATGTCACTTTTTGGTTCCAAGAGGGCCACTTTTGACAAAAAAATCGTATCACAGGAAGCTTTTAAAATCAAGAATGGTGTTTGCATTTTAACCAAAGTCAAGCTCAGTAAACAGAACGATACTATAACGTTACCATAACGTGTTTTTGGTTATATAAACGTTATGGTAACGTTATGATAACGTTCTTTGTTTGCTGGGAGGGATTATATGAGCTGTAGGGGAAGTAACAGTGCGCGGGAGCATCGATGCGGGGGGAGGGGTCGTACAGATACTTTGTATTGGTGCGAGAACCTGTAGGGATGCAGCCTTGTACAGTATTATCCAGCGTACTCATAAAATCACCAGCATCTGTGTATTCTACTGAAAGCCAGAAAGTGTGTCATTTAACTTATTTTCAGTTGTGAATTTTATATATAAGTACTATCACATTGAGAATGTTTTAAAGGAGAATTTTGTGGTGCCCACGCTTTGGGAATTCGTACACATCCTTGCACGCACGCATGACTTTCCTTTTTATATTATTATTCAGGTACAATTATAGGCCAACACTATGGCATTGCCAAAAGAGCAACAGCGATAGCCGTACAAGTACTTAATGCAAATGGCTTTGGTTCAAATACGTAAGCTCCCCTCTCTCTGTCTCTCTCTTGTTTATACTAGAAATTAACAATCGATAAAAATTGTGACCAAAACAAATATACCTAACAATGATGTTTTAGTTTTTCAAGTCTTTTCTCTGGATATAATCTAATGCCTATAGTTAGAAAGTTTGTGAAGCATGTATATATATGGTTTCAAGAGGCAGATGCATATGATACTGAAATGAATATTTAAGCTGTGAATTTGATTCTTGCCCTCCCCCAATTCCTTTTTATGCTTATTTGCATAATGGTACTTAATAGTGAAATGTAAACACAAGGCAAGATTCACTAAATCAATTGTTGACAATTATCATTTTTACATTTTAGTTATTGAACAGTAAATGTTCTTTTTTAATGTCTGCTTTTTTAACTGTTCCCTAAATTCTTTTGAGCAGTATCAAATTTGTAACTTAAAACTGTCAAAAAACCAAAATTAAAAATTCGTGTTTAAATCATTTTAATTTTTGGATATGCATTGAGGATATTTTTCCAACCAGAACTGTATTCCTATAAAAGCCCATATGTGGGATAGCTGTTAATAGGTTATTGACATTGAAACTTACAACCATACTTTCTGTAGAGGCATGGTTTGGGAAATATGGTTGGAAGTCCATATGATAGTATGTGGTTTTAGAATGATATCCAGTAAATTGCTTTCAGTCTTTGCATACTACACACAGATATCTGTTTACACTAGTCAATTTTAATGCAGCAAATGCATTATATATATATATATATATATATATATATATATATATATATCATAGTCCACACGTTTGTACATCTATTCCAGGGGTGTTATTAAAGGTATGGAATGGGTTGTAAAGGAGCACCAGAAAGCAGGAAAGAAAACATCTATTGCAAAGTAAGTAAAAGAATGAAGCAGAGTTCATTTCCCCTATGAATTTTCCCAATAAAATTTTTTAATTTTACATGAATTTAGGAGATATTTTTTGCATTGCATATAATTAATAATTATTACAACCATAATATTCCGAAACAAGACAACTCAATGTATGCTAAATACATGTATTTGGAACATGTGACAGACTTTCTACATGAAAGACCTATATCCTGACTGGTGTGCCAGCTTCCTTTGTGCTGTGTGGGGTGTGTCACTCTTTTTAAGTTGATAATTTGGAAAATATGGTGATGCAAGTAGAAAAAGTCTAATAATTTAATTTTCAATACAAATAATTAGTGAGATTTAAGCCAATAAAATTGGCCTTGATTGACAAATTGTCAACGTCTAATTCCCTGTTGTTTGTTTACTTGGATGATGGTGTGAATATTTTTGGTAATTATTTATTTGAGACAGAGGAGACATAAAATTATGTAATGTTTTTTTGACTAAAAATCAGCCTTGTATTTTTGTAATGCTTCATTGATGAATTCAGTTAAAGAGCTGATGCCACATTTGTTGGCACTGAATAGATACATTGTATAAGTTATCAAAACTTGGTTACTCTTAGTAAAGATGCAAATTTCAAGTAGATGTGATTTTAACATGCATTTTAAACAAAATGGATTGACTTAATAAAGGATACAGTAATTAAGTCTTTCTTTAAAAAAATAAAAACAGTCATTTTACAGACGACGAAACTCCTTGAATAATAGTTTTATGTGAAGTTAACAACTGTACACTTCACAAATATATTAGTCTACAGGGTACAAGGCCATGATACAAAGAATGTAACATTTTCTTGTGTTCTGAAGTACGTAGAAACAAGACTGCCTAGCAACTGTATCGTTAATGTTAGGCAGGTTTTGTTCTGAATGACTGGTCAGTCTAAATTATTTAAAAATGGAATAAAACATCAAATTTAAATGAAGAGACCACTTGCAATTATTAATGAGTTGAAAAAAGGAAAATTGGTTTTGGTGGGGAAAATCATGCATATATATAGATTACTTTTAAGGGATATGAGAAACCAATAGCTAGAACATCTCTAAGGGTCTTTCAAGAAAAACAAATTGTAAAATCATACTGCAAAGGATGACATTCTTATATAAGTCAAGTATGAAACCTTGCATGTATGTTTGGAGATAATTTAGTCCACTAATTAGTCTAAAAATGTTGCAAAAATGTTGCAAAAAGGTTTTAGAAGTTACTCTGGCATAGAACCACCAAAACTTGTTACAATGTTATAATATACTGGTGGTATAATTAATCTATTAACTTATTCAGTTTGAATTTCTTTTGGAACAAGTTATGTAACACAGCTTTATTCGTTAATTTCAGCATGTCCTTGGGAGGCGGCTTTACTCTTGCAATGAATGAAGCTGTAGACTCCATGTTTGCCGCGGTAAGCCCTCTGATCCAATAGTGTTACGTATACATGTTGCTGCCATTTTATCTTAAAATGGTTATGATTTTTGCATCTTACACAACTTACAAATTTGAGTGCTTATAAGTGTAGCACACTGAATATTTTGGTATTTTTACAAACTAATAATATCTGCTGAAGTCTACCTGGACACCTGAAGTAAGTAACTCTAACACAAGTGAACAATAACTAACCTCTGNTTGTCTGATAGCATCTGCCAGCTGTTTAATTCCATCTGAATCCATTGCTCACGTCGGGGTCACCAATGTAGCACACTGAATATTTTGGTATTTTTACAAACTAATAATATCTGCTGAAGTCTACCTGGACACCTGAAGTAAGTAACTCTAACACAAGTGAACAATAACTAACCTCTGCACTACCTGTGCAGCTCTTTATTATAGTACCAGTTATGCAAATGACCCAATGCTACAAGTCCAATAAATATGATTGGCTAGTTTACCACTGCATAACCACTGCAATGCAACACTCTACCATAATTGTTTGAGATGTTATCACATAGCCATTATGTAAGTTCTACATAAGGATTTTTTCCATCATTTTGAACCATCAATTTGTAAGAATATATATAGTGACAATGACAAAGTAGTCAAACTGAACACCTGAAACTAATTTTGTCACCATGAGTGAAGGAAATAGCTGTTCAAGACATATCTAAAGAGGCTGATTATTTTGTTTTTCCATTTGAACATGTTTTGATGATGTTTTAGTACTTAATTCAGAACTTTTTCCATGTGATCCTTTTCAATAATTGGCAATGAAAACCTTCAAGATCTCTGGATGTTAATTATACGCTACTGTGCATGATTTTGAAATCTGTTGGTTCTTACACAACAGTGACTATCAAGCTGATGTTGAGTTTTTAAAAAAAAAATATAGTGCAAAATGTCACCTCATGTAACCTCATTGGCCTCAGATCACACTTGTCTCTTGATTTTGGTTAGAGATGGAGGCTAAAACCAACTACAGAACCCAACCCAGATTACAATTTTTATAAATTAAAATTGTCTTGTTTCAGGGTGTCCTTCTTGTTGCTGCTGCTGGAAATGATAATGCTGATGCCTGCAATTACTCACCAGCTAGTGCTGAAAATGCGTAAGAATCTGTGTGTGCATGTGTGTACGTGTGTGTACAAGAGAGAGAGAGAGAGAGAGAGAGAGAGAGAGAGAGAGAGAGAGAGAGAGAGTATACAGATTAACTTTAACTTAGGAATTTATTTTGACTGTTGGTATCATGAAATTACAAAATTGTCATTTTTTATTCTGACAAATTCAGAATTATTTTGTGCCCTCATATCTGTCAAATACAAACCAAGAGAATTTAAAATACAAAACATTTCCTTTCAGGGTCACTGTTGGATGCACTGACATAAATGACTCTTCATGCTATTTCTCAAATTGGGGGAAATGTAATGACATCTATGCTCCGGTAAGAATATGAGATGACTCAGTACGCTAAGATAGATGATTATGCTTCAAGACAGTCAGGAAAGCCATGTAGCAAATTGGTAACTCCATCTAACATGCTTGATGATATTTGAAACTAATAACTTGACTGTTGTCAAAATTGATGGAAAAAAAAAATGTTGAAAGCATTTTTCAGTTTCAGTTAAAAAAGGAAGCAGATAGTTGATTTTGATCAATATCTCAATGAAACAGAAAACACCTGCAGGCCTTCCACACAATATTTATGGCCAGCATTAAGACTGTGTTCTGTGAATACTATTTTGAATGTTTCTCTCATGTTAACTTTATTTGTTCTTTAATGGATAGGGTTTAAACATTGAATCTACTTGGATTGATGGAGACTCAGCAACTAAAACAATATCAGGTGTGTATATTTTTTAATTAATTGTACTTTTTGTACCTTATATAGTTGTCTTCATTGTTTTTTTTTATAGTTACCTTCTACCGTTCTTTTTTTAGCAAAAGGTTGTTCAGTATGTTAGGATTTGTTTTATCTTATCCATTAAGACTGCAATAATTGCCATTTGTGATCTTGAGCCATTTGTGAGCATAAACACGTGCCAATTCATACCACAATTTCATGACGTGGACGTAAAATATTTGTTCCAACGTACATCAGAAACAATTTGGCCAGCTTTCATCCCAGCCTTTTCATGTGTATAATTGCTGCTCTGCAAGTGACAGTTAAATAGGACAAGGACATTTATTAGTACCACCAGCGTATATGCTGGCGGTACTCATGGTTTTAGTCCCGACTTGTCTCGTCCGGCTACGCGTTCTGGCGCCAGATACAAGTTACTGTTACCGCTTCTCCTCCTAGACCGCAAGGTCCCCTGACCCCATCTCTTGGATTTAGGTCACATATAATCTCAACTTGAATCCCCTGGTATATCTTTAGTCCCTTATATCTCCAAAACTGGCAGAGATAGATCCCTATAGTTACTATTGAAGTTGAATAGGAAGTCATATACTGGCAATTTAACTGTGACCTTGAAATTGACCTTTGACCTACTTTTCACCATGAACTGAAGTTTGAAACATTTAACCCAGCAGGCATAGTAACATGGGATCAACGTTGAAAACAGCTTGATACATTCTTCACTCCATCACATTTACAGCGATTTATTCATCCTAGTGTTAGCTGACCTTGCAAGGAAGTTTATTGGAATACATTCCAATAATATGAAAGCACTTGCTCCAGCTGGTGGTACTATATCCAGAGGCAGTATCGCCTCTCTGATCCTCTTGTTGTCCTTGAATAGGATAAAAGTTAAAATTTAATTTCAACCAATGCCTCCGCCAACTCATTTATCTATTTTCTGTGGATTTATTAAAAAGCTCACTTCTGATTTAATCAGTTAAGAGGTGAATTAGCACTTATATTTAATGAAAGGATGTAATTAGGTTCTTGATTCTAGTTTACACCCTATAGTCATGCTGTTTTTGTGATTATAATTACTGAGTTAAACAAAGAGATATATGGTGGAAACTGATCACTGTCTCACACTAATTTATACAACAAAATTGAGTTTTGGACACCTGGGTGCAGAAATGCAAGGTGTAAAACAACAAAACGCAGTAAAACTGTCAGATCTATAGATATAAAGCAGAAGGCAGCAAAGCTGATAAATGTAAAGAAATACATGCAGATAAAAAAGATGCCCAACATAGGTCTTTTGTCAACTTAAAAGCAATATTACATAATGGTTAATGGCATTATCATCACCAAATTTTGATTTTATACCAAAGGTAACAGACATTCAAATAATTAAGTTTTGGCCTGTATTTTTGTCATATATATTCACAAGTCCTGTAAGTTTGAAGACAATGGGTCAACCAGTTTTTCCTTTACTTATGCTAACTGTATTACATACATGCTGAAAAAAAATTACAGGATGACTTTTTTGAAAAATGCAATCCAATTTTCTAATGCTACCTTTTGTCAAGAACCACAGTACAGAAAAAGTGTAATTAGTACTTTAAAAACTTTCATACATAATGTTGTATTAATTCAATCAGAGGAAGTCATTGTTTCATAAAACTCATACATGGGAAGTCATGTTGTATAAGTAGCTTCAGATAATACTTCACACCTTGCAATTCAAATTTTGCCCTTTGTTTTGAAGCCAGTAATCTGTTAGAGGTTGATTACATGGGAGTTATTGGAGGTGCTCACCATGAGGGGGTGGACTTGTGTCTGAAGTAACCAATCAATTTTTAAGTTATGTGATTGACAATTTAGTTGATAAAGTTTAGCATAAAATCTGTGAACTTAAATCTAGAAGAGGACTGGATAGAAGTGAGAGAGGCTTGTACCATGTAGCTATTAGTGTAGCAAAATATATTCTGTTGAAGTTACAACATGGAGTCGTTTCATTCTTTTCCGTGTGCAGAGTTTAAGACATGGCACCTGGGAATCTCTGCAGCATTACAGATATGTAGCGTTATCCAAAGATGTGAGCCTATTCAGCCCAAACCCCTAGGGTTTTATCATAAAAAGTTATTGTAATGTGGGGGCCTGGGATGGTCTTAAAGGGGGTTCCCCACACTTTGTTTAACTAATATTCAACAGTTAAGTAAGTTTAAAGGCAATAGCTTAAATAATAAATAAATAAATAATTTGTATTACTTACATTCTGGAAAAAGAAAGGAAAATAAGAAAAACAAAACAAAACAATATATATATGTAAATCTTTGGGAAAAATGGTCAATAAACTTGACCTTTATTTTACTAACATTCATCAGTTCTGTAAGTTTAAAGCCAGAAAAAATGGTTTTCCACTTATCGTGTTATCTCTGAAGGTGCATGGCGACAACAATGCTGATAGATGTGTCATACTTGTAATTTAATGCCTTAAGTGAATTTTCAGTTTTCTCAACTTTTCATTGAAATAGCAACTATAAATATGATCAACTCCATTTAGTTCAATCTAATTTCCAGAAGTTTATTAGGTTGTTATATAACATTAATTATATAGATGTGCGGGTTAAATGTTTTCAGGATGTGTACTTACATAATCAGTTTACAGGTCAAGTTTAAATAAGTCTGTTTAGAGTCACACTAGGTAACTCAATTAAACAAGAAGCAATGTCTTTGATTAACAAATACATTCACCTCAAATGTATTTAGGAATGGTCCTCTGCCTTGTAACTATATTATTCACCTTGATCAATCAGTTTAAGTTATCAACCTATTGTCCACTAGCAGAAGCCATTTAGGACTCAGTCTGGAAGTGTTCTCTGTCACATGTGTAATTGAATTAAAGTGACCACTCTGGTAACCCACCTGGCTGGGAAGCCAATGTAACTATATCTGCTGTAGTGAATACCTTACTACCGGAAATCAGAACATTCGTTATGCAGAAGCAGCCCAACTCACTACAGGCACTTGAAGAGGCAGCTGCACTANCAGTATTCAGAATAAAACAAGAACCACATGAAAAAGTCTTAGACTTTATTACCAGGAAAAGAACTTTAGCCACACAAGCCAATATGACAGAAATGGAAACTTTATCTGCTGTAGTGAATACCTTACTACCGGAAATCAGAACATTCGTTATGCAGAAGCAGCCCAACTCACTACAGACACTTGAAGAGGCAGCTGCACTAGTGGAAGCATCTCTACTGGCCACAAATTCGTATGAAAACCCAGTGGGCAAAGAAACAACAATGGGAACCATTCCCTCCCAACCAGTCCAACAGTCTCACCAAACAATTCAGCTGTACCCAACTCAGCACTACATAAACCCAGCCCCACAGTTTATATACTCAGCCCAGCAGTTCACGAACCCAATCCAACAGTTCTGGAATCCAGCCCAGCAGTTCACGGACCTAACCCAACAGTTCATAGATCCAGCCCAGCAGTTTATGGACCCAAGTGCTCAACAGTCCCATTCCGCACCTCAACATGAGTACCAGCATCGTGGACGACAGCGATATAGAAAACAGCCCTGCACGCCATACAGCCGTCAACAAAGAAACACAGCACCACCGAAACACAAACTGAACAAATGTGAAAAATGTGGCCAAACAACTACGCCCGTTACATCGACACAGCAAGGTGTGGTGAATGAGGAAGAAGATGACCCAGTCCGACAAATAGAAAAGCTTGTCAAATGCTCATGGAATGCCAAATATAAACAGTATCAGTACAATGTTAAGTTTGCAAATGAAAAATCAATCGTAAAAGGTGTACTGGCTGATGACATACCAGAAAGATTCAAGAAAGAATTCCATAGCACAAAAACCCATGCGGGAAGGAAAAGAAAAAGACCACCAATAGTACGATATCAGAATTAAAATGTAGTAACAGAGAAATGACAGATAAAAAGTGTGTTGAATTAGATGTGCATAGTGTTTAAAGATGCAGCAAAATAATAATAAAAAAACTAAAAAGGGCAATGCAAAAATGCACAAGATGCGCACTTGTGCAAACTTCAAGACTAGAACCTAACCTAACAACAACAAACTAAGGTACCATCTATACCCTCTTCTTTACTTCTTTTGCTGAATGCAATCAGAGGTGCAGGCACTTTCTGCATTGTATGAGGCTGTGCACAACCTGTACTTCCATCTTTAATTTCTTGGGTACCAAAGTAAGTAATTGTGAAGTTGGGAAACAGTCCATCCAAGAACAACACATAATAAAATTTAACAAATACTGTTGTAACCAGCCTGCTGGTAAGCATCACAAAATATGACATTAGTGTCTGTGAAAGCTACACAGTGCATTGGATGAATGGAGTTATTTTAGAAATTCACAAACGTAAAATATCAGTATCAGCACAAAGGAACAAATTGAATGAATTACCATAACTGGAAGAAATATGGAGGAAGCAAATGCTAAAAAAAAAAAAAAAAAAAAAAAAAAAAACAGGCAGGAAAAATATATTAACGTCATAAAATGCAAATCAAAAGCTTCAAAAATGAAATAATAATAATAATACTAAAAACCCTACAATTGTATACATTGTATGCCAGCACTTTGAATAAAGAAACAGTTAATAGTAAATATTGTTGTTTTCTAATTTTTATTTTTATGGTCATACCTTTCAGCAAACCCCCCAATCCTCATTTGTACATACTACAAAAGGTTCAGTATATTTTTGTACTTATAGCACCAACTTCCACCAACTTTTGTTTTTCCTTGACCTTCTTAGTCTTTATGGGATTTGTCAGTTTTTACCAACGTGGCTTAGGTCTTACATTTACCATAAACACAATGTCTGTACCTTCCTACTTTGTCATCGCACTTATAGTGGATGCTTTTAATGGATGTTCAAAGTAAAAATGTTAGAAAATCTTCTAGAGTCTTGGTCTGACAGGGATCAGTCCAGGGAGCAATGTATATGCATCAGTTAAAAGCCCTAATGGATATTGCTAGAGAAAACGTTTCAACAAATAGTAAAACTAAAATAAACATGGAAACAATAACGAGTTCATTGATATTATTACTGTGCACCCTATGAATATTAATGGTAGTAGCTGGACAAATAAGGTTCCCACTTTACCAAAAGAACTGTACTTACATAAAGGAAAAATGTAAAATCAAATAGTCTGTAAACGTTTAGAAGTTTTCTTTTGTGTAAACATAAATGTGTTGTCATACTGATAGAGAAATATAGTTATTAATATTTATTTCAATTTGAAGTGAGAAAATACCATGTCATATTATGTCTTTATAATTATTGCTTGTGTTTAATGTAAATTTACTTGTACATAGTCAAAACAAATAGATAATGTGTACATGTAATTGGTGTGTATAAAACCTAGAGTACTTGTAATTTAATGGTAAATATGAGGACATATTTAGAAGGGCCCCAGGGATGTGTCATACTTGTAATTTAATGCCTTAAGTGAATTTTCAGTTTTCTCAACTTTTCATTGAAATAGCAACTATAAATATGATCAACTCCATTTAGTTCAATCTAATTTCCAGAAGTTTATTAGGTTGTTATATAACATTAATTATATAGATGTGCGGGTTAAATGTTTTCAGGATGTGTACTTACATAATCAGTTTACAGGTCAAGTTTAAATAAGTCTGTTTAGAGTCACACTAGGTAACTCAATTAAACAAGAAGCAATGTCTTTGATTAACAAATACATCACCTCAAATGTATTTAGGAATGGTCCTCTGCCTTGTAACTATATTATTCACCTTGATCAATCAGTTTAAGTTATCAACCTATTGTCCACTAGCAGAAGCCATTTAGTGCTCAGTCTGGAAGTCTTCCCTATCGCATGTGTAATTGAATTAAAGTGACCACTCTGGCAACCCACCTGGCTGGGAAGCCAATGTAATGTAATTATATATGTGAAGGTATATAAAGATAGAAATAAAGGTAGAAGTCAGTAGTCAGTACTCAGAGAGAGGACACTGCATGCTGATCTCTAGAAAGCAAAACATGACGTTATGTTAACCCCCTGTCTGTGTTTAAATGCATTAATTGTTGGCACTATATGACCGACACTGGGAGTCTGGTACACATACACAGCCCTCCCTTTGGTGCACTGTCTGCCATATTGACCACTGGCCCGACTGCCAATGCCAGTAAAAATTGGACCATGCCAGTGTCATTTCTGAAAAACGGTCAGTTACTGGCCTGCCAGGGCCAGTGGATTTTTTCAGCTGTGACAAACCCTCCAACTCCTTTTATAAATGCTCATAGTAGATGTTGAAGTCGTTTTTCTTTAATAACCAGTTGAACATCCCATGTTTTATTTTTATTTCTAAAAGGAAGCCTGTTTAATCTCAAGGTGTTAATTTCAGTTGTTTTTTTTTTTTTTAATTTAATTAGACTTGGGGCCAATGAATTTTGGTCCAGGCCAGTAGATTCTCAGACCCTGATGGCCCAGGTGGACTGTAAGTAGAAAAGTATTTGTCACCGACTAGGTACATACTAACACTGGGGCCTAACTTGATAAGTACTTGTAAGTTTATCACCTGAGTGTGTTATACATATATTTAATTGGCACATTTGGGATGAAGACAGCCAATTTGTTGTTATTCCATGCACATATTATTTTGATTAAGTTATACATAGTGTGTGTAAAAAGATAAAATGTCTGAGATATCAATCTATTCAACCAGGGATAATATTTTTTCTGACTATTGGCCAATTTCTGACTTCTTGGGAGCCAATAATATAATTAGGCAAGGTTTCTGTCTTGATCTCATGCCATATTTTCCAACTTTTTTGCAAA